ATTAATAAAAAAAAAAAAAAAAAATCACACCCTTTATCCCTTCATTTTGTGGAATGTTTCAGAATTGAAACACGTAAAAATACCAGTATAGTATTTTAATTTTTTGCCATTATTTATGAAACGTTTACAAAACAAAATATTTTTTACCAAACATATTTTTTAACTGTTCACTGATGCTACAGTACTTGACAAAAACAAAATGTATACCAAATAATCTCTTTGTTAATCAATTTTTTGAAGTGTAGTCTGGATGGTAGCTAGTTGGACATTTTGGTTTATGAACACATGATACAAATACATTGTAATTTTTATAAAAAAATCTTTTACCATTTTTGTAAAGAGAGTTGTAACATAATGAAAATATTAAAAATTATGTTTATGAGTTTCAGGTTTACAGGTCCTATCATCATGAATCTAAGACTACAAAGCCCTCTGATCATAATTTGGTACATTGTTTCAGTATTTGCAAGAAGGATTTGGATCATGTTCATTAAATTTTCTCTTCAAATACTTTTAAATTATCATCCAATGATTACGAATATGTCACGTCATTCTTTGTAAAATTACTCAACACCTATGATTGCAAGGGCTTATATTGGTCATGGTGGAACTAAGGACCAATGCCAGAGAAGGGTTTCTTTTCTATTTATTTTTCTTCCCCAGGCTTAGACCATGTCTCAAACAATTTCAATACGTATGGCACAATGTTATGTACGTAACTAAATTCGAATTCGAATGAGGAGTGTTAGCGGTCATCGCTGGACACTTACTTTCACTGATTGATTTTCAACTAATCACAATGATTGTAAAAATAATTAAAAAAATTAAAAATAAAAATTACAATTTGTGAAAAATCAATCGCTCTACCTCCATCGTCTGAATAAAAATGTTATGTCATCACCAAATTTTGAAAAGAATTACAACATACCATGAGCACAAAATTAGACCTTAGCACCACATTTCATCCTCAAAAGCACATTTGTGAAGTTCAAACTCATTTACTCCGCCATATTTAACTTGTTTTGAAATCCAAGTCCAAACAATCTGTCACTCTCTTCCACTTCACATTTCTTGAAGTTTTAACCTATATTCTGAAAGAAAAAAAAGAAGAAAATTAAAAAATTGTGGATTTAAGTCTCCATCATTTCCAATAAATTCCACGCCCCAGATGATTCTAGCTTTATGCTTTGAGTTAGAGAAGACGACAAAAGTTTGGTGATACTGTAATATATATATATATATATATTATTTTTATTACAAATTGCAGTGTGGAGGAATAGACAGTCACCATATTGGAAGAATTTGAATAATTTGATCCAACTGGAATACAGAATCCTTCTTTCCTTTCTTTTACAGCTAATATTTTCCATCTTCTAACTTTTCAGTTTTTATTGTTAACAAAATTATTATTATTATTATTTCTTATCACTGGCTTACATCTTCTATGACGTATCACATAGATGTATACATAATTTAGTGGTCTAAAAATATGTGATGGCCTGAAAAAAAAAAAAAAAAAAAAAAAAAAAAAAAAAAAAAATGAAAGGAAAAGAAAATAAAAGGAATTGGAAGGAAAAGAATAAGAATAGAATGATTTGAATATGATATCATCATATTTTTTAATTATCAAACTCTAAATTTAATTGATTTATTAAGTATTAATGATTCAAAATCATCACGGCATGACTCCGATGAGTGGCTGTTAGCACTCCTCAGAAGCTAAATATTAGTTCCAAGTCCTATGATTTGATAGCATGGCCCCTGAGCTGGACCACATTAACTATAAAAACAACAAAAATAATAATAATATTTATAAGGCGCCGCAAAGAAACTAGTCAAGATAGTAAGAAAATTAGTTCCTTTTTATGATTTAGCTTTGATTTCAACATGTTATAATATCATATTTGATAAATATAATCCCATTAGCAAGTCCAATTCAAAATGATTCGAAACTACCATGAATTAGACTGCTAGTGGACATTAAATAAATCATTGTTGGGATCAAAGATAATGCAATCCTGAAATAAGATTGAGTTTAATTTGTCCGGCCATTGAAGAGACTAATATTTTATTTAAATAATTGATATTTTTTAACCAAGCTCATAATTGGACAAAAGAGTCATCCTCATAGCTATTGAATGCTTGTAGTCTCCATTCAATATCATGATAGTTTTTTTTTTTAATATATTTTTTTTAGGTCATGATAGGTTATTTAAGGATTGCCAAAATAATATGGATTCCTAAACTATTTTTTGTTGTAGTTGTTATGAGGATATGACAACAATTTTATGTAAGTAACGTTAAATGTGTGATACATATTTGTCTGGCTTTTCTTAATTAATGAAATCATACTATAATATTTAGGGTAAATTATATTAACTTCTCTTAAAATTTGAATAGTTACATATGACTAGACTGTTTAAGTGTCATAGTAAATTTATACAAAATTTTTGGACTATTTATTTTTAGCTCCAATCATTATTTTATAACTTTTGTGTAAAAATGTATCTACTAATAACAACCAATCATGTGTCCCCATATAATTTGTACAAACCTACTTAATATAGGGTTAATTCGTTAATGGAAGGAGAAGAGGGAAAAAAAATGAAATATGCTGATGTGGGTGTATAAAAAAGTTGTGTAAAAATACACAATAATTTTACACATTTGTGTGTCTTAACATACTGCTGGAGATAAAAAAAAATTTACACATCATATTTTGTGTAAAATATACACTGCCACATATGATGTGTAATTTATTTATTTATTTTTATCTTCAACAGATACACAAATATGTAAAATTGTTATATATTTTACACAACCTTTTTACACAGCATTAATATATTTTCTTTTTCCTCATTCCATTAAAAAATTAACCATATATTAAGTAAGTTTATAAAAATTATGTGAGTCCAGATATGACACGTGATTGGTTGTTATTGAGAAATGCATTTTTACACGAAAGACATAAAATAATCCTTTGGGTTAAAAATAAATAATTCAAATTTTTGTGTGAATCACATAAAAATATATATATGTATATCAATACAATGATTGAAAATGTTGTAACGTTTATTATTTTAACTTTCTTTAAATTTGGAACATAAACACACCCTGTCGTTTTCTTTCCCATAAATAACCAATGTCACTCAAAGTATAATATAATATATTATTATAATATAAAGGAGTTATTGACTTTTTTACACTCAAAATCACTTTTTTGTAACACTGGTTCGAATCATATTAATTAAGATTGTGGCCTTACAACTTTTCTTTTTCTTTCTATTTTCTCAGAACAACTACTATTAATTTTCTAGAGAAATAACAAAATAACAATTTCATTGTTTTCTAAATACAATCACATGAAAAACAAAGTAAAAAAATGATCCAGCTGTTTGGAATACTTTTTTTTTCGATTGTTCACGTTATTACATTTATCTAAAAAATCTATGATTTTGCGTTTTCTTTGGATTGATGCTGAACATATTAAAAATAAAATAAATTGGACTGCCATTGCCGTCCCCATCCCAAACATTGGAGCTTGTCTCAGGCATCTAAAGTTTACATTGGCACCAAATGAATACTATAACAATCAACAGTAAAAAAATTCTCCTAAATAATCTTTTTAACTAACTATTTTATTTTTAAGACTTGTGATATTTTTTTACGAAATATAATTTCATAATTTTTGCTTTCAAAAATATTATAACAAATATAATTTTAATTCGGAGTAATATTGAAAACACACCAAAATAACAACACTGCTTTTATTTTAAATCAAAACAAAAACAGGAAGAAAAACGATTTGTCAAACATAGTATATAAATGTATATACATAATAGAATAAACATAATATCAAACACTAAAAAAAGTGAGCATGATAAGGGACATGGGACCCCTTAGGCAGTGCATAATATATGACAATGTCCTTTTCACACTTTGTCATTATTATATCCGACTACATATTTTATTGTATAGTGTTTAGTGTGTGTACACACACGCTTGTGTATAAACAAAAGTATTTTTCATTTTGAATTGGAATTTTCATAGTGCACTGCTTTAAATAGAAGATCCAACGCTCTTACTACATATGAGTAAAAATTTATGTAACAAATTTATTTGACAATGTGACATAGTCTGGGATAGAGATGCCAACAAGGTAGAGTTGGCTAAATCCTACTCTATTCATTAGAAAATTTGTGATATTAATTATGTCCCTATTTTGGAGCGAATTTTTAATTGGTATATCATTTCTGTCCTTATTTCGATAGACAAAATACATATTCCGTCCCACATATTCAGTTTAATTACAGGGCTAATAAAATAGAAACTAATCCAATGTGTGCTCAAATTTGACTCATAAATAAGCTGATCTAACTTTTAAATTACTAAGTAACAAATAATAATATATTAATTGATACTTCTAACAAAATAACAAGGGTTTTAAAAATAATATATATATATATATATATATATATATATATATATATATATATATAAATTAGAAGGTACATATATAATCAGGGGCGGGGACAAGACGGGTTCATCACTAAATCCATCCATGCCTCAAACCAAATTCGAGTTTTCAATTATTTTATCATACTCGTCCCAAATTTATATAAGGAGCTACCAAATTTGCGGGGCAGGGCAGGGCGGAAATCGTGGGTTGAAAGAAATTACCATCCCTAGTCAAGAATTCGAAAAATAAATATGTCTCACTTTCGAATCGCACTCTTAACTTGAATAGTGAGTGTGTTGTGAGGCCGATACCGCTTTAAGAGATATAAAAAAAGAAAAAACATAGTTTCAATGTGATTGTATTTTCGATTTAACAAAATGAATATACTTTTATTTATATGATAAAACATAATTGATTTTTGTTTAGAATGTCTTTAAAAAAACAAAGGATTCTTTCCTTTAATTTTATATTATTACGTCACATTTTTAATATTACAGTGTACCCCAACATTATAGTATTATAAATTCCCACCCCTACTGAAAACACCAGGAACCAACACGGATTCTTTTTTCTTCTCTCTCTCTACTTTCTCTCTCTACGTTACGGCTGTTCTGTTGTGTTATGCTACTCTGGTGCTCTGTTTTTTTTTTTTTTTCTGGAGGCTTTGACGGCCGTCTTCTCCATTGAAGCTGCGGTGCTTCAAGCTATAGTTTTACTGTGAGAAAGGATTAGAGAGAGAAACGAAGAAATGTATGCCGAGACTGGCCTCCTCTTTCCTTACTTCCACAACTCCTCTCAAGAAGTACAACAACTTGAAGATTTTTGTTATTTTCAGAAATCGAATCTTCCAATGGTAAACCATTTCTCTCTCTCATTTCTCAATTTGTCTCCTAGATGGTTTTCTCTCTCTATTACTCCCTGTTTGGTATTGATTTGGTTGATCGGCATTTCTTTTGAGTCGATTGAATGCAGAGTTTGAGCTTCGATTACCATTCGCTATAGATTTAGGGTTTCAAAATTTTGCTTTCTGTTGAAGTATGGTGTTGATTTCTGCTGTGGTTTAATGGGATTCTGAATTGAATAGCGATCTTTTTCTTTGGAGGTCATTGATTATTTTTGGAGGCCTTTTGTTGGTTGCTAAGAAAACTCAGGGAAACAAAAAAGAACGCTAAAAATTTTTTAAACCTAAAATATGCTGCTTTGAAATTCCCTTAGAATAAAAATGTAACTTGCATTATTTTTGTTTTTTCTCATCATTTTTTCAGCTACCAAAGGGAGCATTATAGGAAAATATATATGCAAAAACATATATATTGTTGCATATATATGTTTTTTTTTTCTTCCCCCTTTTTATTGCAATTGTAGCACTTCCTCATCAACGAATGAGCACGAATAGAAACATTCAGTTTCTTTTTTGTGTGCTCGATCTAGAAATAAAAAGACTTTACAGAATGGAAAGTAATATCACAGTCATGAGTTCCGTGTTCTCCACTCACTTTTCTGTTTTCCCCAATTGAAAAGACGGAAGTAACGAAGAATTTGTTTTTCCATCTCATCTCTGGTTCTAAAATTTCCAATTTTGATGTCAGCTTGTTGTTAAAGGTTCACTTTTAACCGCACTTACAAGTATTAAAGAAGAAAAAGTTGGGGAAAAGCAAAAAATAATCTACTCCTTTATCGTTTTATTTTAAGGGTTATTTTTGTATCAATACTAATTCTAGAAAAAGGAGAACAACCTTGGACAAGAGTTGCTGCAACTCTCTGCTTTTGTTGAAAGTGGTGACTTTTCCGGACATTTCCGAGAAAAATGATCCACTTTGAGCCTTTGAGGGGTTGAAGTTTTACTTAGAATAGTATTAGGGACAACTAAACAGAGTTTGCTTCTTATTAAGGGAGCCCTTTAAGATATGAACTTTCAGTATGTGGAAGTTTTTGGGTAGCCCTTCCTTTTGCTTTGTGGATTTCCAGCTATATGACCGAATTGGGATTGCAAAATTTTCTGAACATTTTTTATTATTAACCCACCCAATTTTCTCTTGATGCATATAGAACATGGATGGTCAATGTTTTTGAATATTTTCCTGATTTTAATATTTTTATGGGCCGATTGTCCAGGAAACAGCCTCATTTTACCTTCACCAGCTAAGCCTTGGTCATGTGAAATCCCTTTTTGCAGTCCATGTTTAGTTGATTTTAGTATAAAACCATACTTGTGCCATGAATTAAAACTCTTCCTTTAAGGAAGTGTCAGTTCAATTTATCTTTTCTTTTCTATTTTTTTATTTTATTTATTTATTTATTTTTTTTGTGCCTATATGAAGGAATGTTCTAGTCTTTTAATTGCAAAGTATCCATGAACTTCTCAGTAATTCCGCTCAAATATTTCTGAATTTGACCAAATTTTATTGACTGGACTCGGGATTTTATCAATATCCTCCTTCTATAAGGCATGAGTTATTTCTTTTACATATTTATCTGGCTGTACTGTTTTCTATTTTATTGATTTTTGTAACTCTAGTTTCAACAAAGCTGAACAACTTCAGAAAAATCACCACTTTCAACAATCCCAAATTTTTATTAGGTTTACTTTCTTCCCCCTCTCCCACTCTGGCATGAGAGACGGCTTTGTTAACAGATTTTATGTAATAGATACACCTTTTCTTAAAGCTAGTATAAATCTGTGACAAACGATTAAGATTTGTGAAAATTACTTCCATAATTTATATATTTTGTGGTCTTGGCATCCCGAATGTGTTTTAGAGCTTTTACTGGTTTAGAATTATACATCCACTTACTACTTCTGCATCTCCTTTGTGGAGCCTTACTAGTTTAGGGTTACACTTGTTATACCACTTACTCTTGAAAAATTTAAATTTCCAATGCAGGGGAACATGCTTCAGACCTCCACTATATTGGAATATGACTTGGGGGAAGAAGGGGATCTATTCAAAGCACCAGAACCAATTATTGAAGAACCAATGATGGGCCTTGATCCCATGACTGCTGCCATTTCAATGATCTCTTGTGGGGAGGATGCCATATCCTCCCAAGCACTCAAGGTTGGAGACATTGAATCAATTCAAAGTGAGCAACTTTTAAGTGAGGTTTTCTATGAATGCAAGAAGGATATCTTGGCAAAAGATGCTATAGAAACACCATTCTCTGATGTCCTGGATATCAAGATTCCAGTTGTGAGCATTGATGAAAACATGGTTGCGGAGAACAAATTTACTTCAAATGGACCATTCCAGAAGAGTGTTAGCTCCGGGTGTTTAAGTTCAATGGATTGGGTACAAGGGGCTCCAATTAGGCCTAATTTTCTGGATTTTCCTGGGATGAATCTTGATGTTGTTTATGGGATGCGAAGGGCATACAGCGAAGGAGACATAAAGGTCTACTCTCTTACAAATTTTCTCATCTCCATTCATTACTTTTTATCTTTATTTCCCTGTTTTTTCTGACTGAAACCAGTTATATGGTTTTCTTAGAAATATGAGCATGAAACAACACTTGTCATAGGTGCAGAGTTTAGGGGATTGGGAAGATATCACATACTTCTGGCCAGAAAAAGGAAAAATGTGATGAAGAAAAACATAAAAAAAGAAGTGCATAAACAAAACTTAGAGAGGAATGACAGGTTTATTCGGAATTCAAAGTAACTGGCAGTACTTAAAAGCGTAATTACTGGGAGCAAGTATCGAACAACACTGGTTTAAGTAAGCATGAATCTAGCTTTGAAATGATTGAGGTTTCCTTTCACATTTTCTTTATCTTGCATCACAGTCATCGCACAGGCTGGCAGATGTGTAGCTATTCCAGTCTTTGGAGTTAGTTACAGCATATGTAAGATGAACAGAAACATGAAGGATCTAAGAAGTCCTGTCTTCTTCAATTGATGGAAAAAGCCCAAGTGAAAATAAGTCAGTCGTTTTGTTTATGAGAAAGTGAAAACTGAGCTTGGATAAGAAATATGTTGTAATACTCTAGAACATCATTATTAACAGAGCAAAGAGTAGGTTGCATCAGATGGGATCAGGTGGCAAATGGCCAATGTCTATAAATCGGGAACCTGGGCACATCATACAAGGGTAATAAGGCAAAATATGACAGTAACGTTGACACTATATATCTTGACATAGCAGGACACACAACCCAAAAAATAAATTTTGATTTATACAAATATATGTGTGCATGTATCTAAGTAATGCATAACTTTAGTGAAAATGATATGCTATGTAGGTATCATAAATTGTGTAACTTTTAATAATCAGTAATACATTTCATAGACAGACAAGAGAAGGAAACAGTTTGTCAAATTCCATATACAGATACATTTTTTAGATAAGAAGTATGGGTTATGGAAAATAAGTGTTAAGCACATAGTTTTAGGGATATTGGATCCCATTGAGAAAACCACACCAATTGCCTTTCTCACCACACCAACTGATGAAATAGCTCTAGAACAGCTTTAAAATTTCATTTTATAATGCTCCTATCATTAACCATAGGTTCGTCCTGAATACACACACACACACACACACACACACACAAGCATTTATATAATCAGCTCATCCTTTATATTTAGTTGAACTGTTTACATGCTATGTCCCCAAATTGATCTTTCACTAAAAAAAGGTAATAGCCATTTCCTCTATAAAAATGGGCTTTGCTTCAGTTATTATTCAGTTATCTTTTGCTCTGCATTTCTTCTGTAAACCACCAGTCCCAAAAAAATTATTTGTGTTGGAGTCCTGAGCATTTATTGGTTTGTGACAAAGTCTACGAACTGAAAAATGTTTAGATGATTCTGGCCATTTCAACAGGATAGGACTGGGTCATTGATACTGTTTTTATGACAGGCTCTTGGTAATGATAATGTGAGCCTCCTCCATTCTCCCCGGCCGCCACAAATTATCAGCAATTGTAACACTGAAGACCGCATGCAAAAGCTTTCAAGATACTGGAACAAGAAGACAAAGAGGAATTTTGGCAGAAAAATCAAGGTAATCAACTTACTCCAGTTCATAGGTTTTCTAAAGTTGACCTAGGGCTTAGCCAAAGTGGTATTTCCAAATGGATGATTGAGGGTTCAAGTCCTTAATGGGACAAATGGGTGTGTGCATCTGTGGACTTAACCTAAAAAGAAAAGAAAAAAAAAATGGAACATTTTGTCCTGGCTGTTTAGCCCTTTATTCTTTCCTGATTGCTGCACTCCACATCAGTATAGCACTTTATTCCTAAATTCCACTGCATTCCGGGATTGATGGACACACCCTTTTGTCAAGGTGGACATTTTTTTTTTCTTTTCCTCTTCTAGGGAGGGGGTGGGGAAGGTGCTAAGGTAAAATTTAGTAACTTGGCCAACTTCTAACCAATACACTCATGGTGTGTTTTGCTTCAGTATGCTTGCAGGAAGGCTCTGGCTGATAGTCAGCCGAGGATTCGTGGAAGGTTTGCAAAGACTGAAGAGACTGATCTTTCAAGGAAGCAGTAACTATTAACTCCACCAGTACGAAGAAAAGTAGGAATAAGCACCCCACGAGAGTGACAAATGAGATCAGTGGTGGTAAAAGCCAGGCTTAATCTGTATGGAAACTTAAACAGGCTTTTTCCGAGATAGTTTATCTCTTGTTTCCACCTAATAATCTCTGTAGATTAAGATGGCCAACTAGAGTTGTAAATAGTGCTTTTGGAATAAAGTAAGTTAAGAGTTGTACTTGTTCATATACGTGCTATGAAATTCTGATATTGCAGTCTCCGTTGGTTCTTCCACAACAAATGGCTCAACCTATTTTGGCTTGTGCTCATTGGAGCTTATCTGATAAGAAAATATTTTGGAATGGAGTTGTTTCAGACAAATGCTTCATATTCCATTTGTAAACACCAATCTTGATTTTACTGGCTATTGAGGGTAAACTGGAAGCCAATGTAAAAGTCCAAATACTAGAGTCACAGTTACTTCAGTCACGACTAATGCTAGCATTCCCCTCTGGCCTCTGGTGTTGCCTCCCTTTAGTCGCCTCTCCCTCTAAAAGAGGCAATGAATCATTGCGAAACAAAAAGATGGTAATCTTTGTGAGCGAGCTTAGGAGCAACAATGGGGCAAGATTCATTTGTAACATTAGCAATTTAATGCTAGAACATCAAATCTATTTGTGACTACACAACTGGTAATCAAAATGTAAGATTTTATCAAAATTGCCTTTGAACTTCAGCTGTGTGCGCGAGAAGGAGACAACCCGCGAGAGACTTTTATAAATACAAACCAATTTATCATAGTAGAGGAGCTGAGCTTGCCTGTAATTTATAAGCAATTTTGAGCAGAACTTGAACTTGAACTCCACTTTCTATGTTCATCGCAAGCTTGAACTTGTGGTGAGTTCATAAACGGAGCTCCTAGAGTTTATAGAAAAAGGGAGCTGACTCCGAACAATATGAGACTTTGATTTGGTGCAATCGAAGCCGAGTTATAGTCCCTGGTAAAAAAGGGAGCTAAGTGTCACGAAGTGATTCCTAAGACGCTTGGAGGATGGAAGACACGCATGCTGGTTGGCAAAGAGCAGAGTTTGACTGGGAATGGTTCCAGGGAAGGGGCGTGCAGGAGCACAGGATGGTACCTCTTCAGGGTTCAGGCAGGTCGACTCGGTTCAGTTCGAGGTGCTTGTCGCTGGTCGTGGACTTGACTATGAAGAAGGGAGTTGGCCATCCCTGCACAAACTGGTCGGGAGCTGGAGCCGTTCCCCTGACGAGGCCATGGCAGGCCGAAACCAGTCAGCATGTATCCTTGGGAGGGCAGGTCGTGGTGGCTGACCAGGGCGCTTGCGCGAGCTGAAGCAACGCCTTGGTGCCGCACGGGCCGTGCCGCTGCGCCAAATCTCTAGGCCCGTGACAAATGGTATCAGAGCAGGACTTGGGGTAAAGCACGGTGGGGTGCCCCCTTGTCGGTCCGGGAGGGGTCAGAGAATGAAGACGGTGCATTGAAGTTGCGTCGATGTGGGGGAATCAATGCAGTTGGGGGGGAGAGCCTCCCTCTCCCTAGGAAGAGGCGTCCGTTGAAGTTGCACATTGAAGGGCCGGAGGGCCGCGCGCACCAAAGTTCGTGCTTAGTCCTTGGGTGATGCAAACCATGGTGAAGGGCGAGCATCAAGTCGGCAGAAGGCCATTGCTTGCTCGGGATGTCGCGGAGGCGGCATGACGGAGAAGAGTCACGTCCTTGAGGAGTGGACGTCCCCTTGGTCCGAGGCCTATCATTGGGCGAGTGCAGTGCAGGGAGCTGCACAAGGAAGCGATGGTGGGAAGGCGAGCATACCGCATGGAGGCAGACTTTGGAAGGGAGTGGACGCAGTAGTGAAGCGCCGCACTGCGACGAGGACGTCGCAGGATTTGGGTGGGGGAGAATGTCACGAAGTGATTCCTAAGACGCTTGGAGGATGGAAGACACGCATGCTGGTTGGCAAAGAGCAGAGTTTGACTGGGAATGGTTCCAGGGAAGGGGCGTGCAGGAGCACAGGATGGTACCTCTTCAGAGTTCAGGCAGGTCGACTCGGTTCAGTTCGAGGTGCTTGTCGCTGGTCGTGGACTTGACTATGAAGAAGGGAGTTGGCCATCCCTGCACAAACTGGTCGAGAGCTGGAGCCGTTCCCCTGACGAGGCCATGGCAGGCCGAAACCAGTCAGCATGTATCCTTGGGAGGGCAGGTCGTGGTGGTTGACCAGGGCGCTTGCGCGAGCTGAAGCAACGCCTTGGTGCCGCACGGGCCGTGCCGCTGCACCAAATCTCTAGGCCCGTGACATAAGTCCCGTATTCATATTCGTGCTTATGAAAAATAATGTCGCTGAAAAACCTCCAAAAGAAGAGCTGGTCCTGGGTTACTTCTTGTTGGGCTCTTATCACTCTCTCCTCTTCTGCAATGGCTTCATTTCATCAATTGTACTGTAGCTGGGCCCGGGTTGGTTGGGCCTGTCGTTTTATAATCATCCAAAACACCCGTTAGAGAGAGAGAGAGTTGAGAGAGAGAAGGGGGAGATATTTGGCGGGGTCTTGGGCGAACGTAGACATGTGTGGGAGAGTGTTTCGACTCATGTCGAAACGTTTTAAGCGCTCTCGTGCACGCAACTCTCACACGCTTCTGTCTTCCTCCTCTATATACACATACATACACATCACACACTCTCTCTCTCTCTCCCCTTAGCTTCCATCTTTGAATTCTCAGCATTCAACAGTCAACGACCTCTCTAGTTCTGGTAAGTAACCTCCTTCATCCTCAATTCTCTGCACAGAAAATTCATCCTTTCTGTTTTGTTGCCGAGAAAATGAAGGAAAACAAAAGAAAATCAAACTAATTTACATTTTACTCGTGTTAAAAACTCCAATAGCGTCCACTATTTTGGATCCAGCTTAATTATAGGACTTAGTTACCCCCAATTTCTGATTTCTTTCCAAGCCAAAACAACATGAAACAAGAAAATGGAGAATTCAATTTTCACTTGATACAAGTCTTTTGAATTGAATTGAAATTCTTATTTTTTAGAAGACCGGCCAGCTGAGAGCACAAAAATTTGTAATTTCTTTCGTTTTCCTTTCCGTTTTCCTATAATTTTCTCAGTAACCAAAAGGAGGGTTGAGTTGGTAGCAGCGGTAACTGTGTGTGATTGATGTTATTGTTTAACGTTAGGTTTCGAATCAATGGCGTTATGTGGAGTGGGCTTGAGTCCCAGTCTGGAAAGTGCTGAAGTACCATTTTACCGTTTCAATTCGTCGACGAGACTAATTAGATCAGCTTGTCTTCCTCTGATTGGAAAAACTGGTATATCCATTCAAAGAAGAAGCTCGATAATAAAGTGTTTTTCATCAAGAAAAACTGTATCTCCATTGGAATCTGATGAAAGTGCTGTCACTGGCTCGGATTTTATGGAGGAAGAGTTGGGACATGTTATAAAGTTCAAGATGTCTGACTTCAAGATTGGCGATCGTGTTAGCATTGGCCTCGGTGGGCGGGTATGGAGAATTTGAATAAATTTGTGAGATGTGTTGTAATGTTTTTAGAGGCAATTTTTATTACATTGAGATCTAATTAATTTGTTTGATGTTTGTAACAGGCAGATGAGGTGGTTTTTGAAGCCGTAGTGAAGGATGCTAATAGGTTAGTTTAAGCTTTTGTGTAGTTCAGTTATATTTTGTTAGAAGGAGGTGGAATTTGAGTGTTTGGAATCGTGAATGCAGCCCTTTGCACAATTCAAGAGTCGTGCTTCGAGGACTTACTAGCGCTCAAGCTCAGCGTAGGGGGAAACGGGCCATAGAGGTTTGTGGATTGTGTATCAAAATTATACTTCTTTTAGTTATTGAATATTGATTCTTCTGTCATATTTTGATCCTTTATTATTAATTTTAGTTGATAAGTAAAAGAACCTGTTTGACCTTGTATAATGGTTTGTTTCATAGGTATTGAAGAAACTAGCTCATCGTAGACTTATGTACCATTCTTACTCGATGCAAGTTCATGGCTATGTTTGTCAATCTACTATTGGTGATTATGGTTCATTTACCCTAATTCACGGGGTACGTCCTTTTCCAAGTAAGACAAATTTTTATAATTTTGCTCATATGGTCATGTCTATGTTTCAAACATATGGATTGAAGTTGTAGGTTTGTTAGTCATGACAAGTCTTGGCCTAGAGAAGTGTTGGTGGTTATTTTTGTGCGAAGGTTGACAGATGACCAATTGTATATTACAATCAGTAGATTGTTTAACACCAAAGCCCCCCTTTGGCCAGATCATCCGAGTAACATGATGAGCTTCCCTTGCCATGGCCGTTGTGTCACACTAGTTAAGTTTAGGCATTGCATCTAAGAGGGAAGGGTGTGGTTGAGGGTTTGGTTCTTACTGTTGATCAAAGAAGGGGATAAAATGATGAATCTTCCCCTCTGCATGCTGTAAGAGAGGCACTTGTACCATTCTTTTCGTTTTGCATTTGGATACATATCCAGTTACTTGAGAAGCTTCTGAATGGTTCAACATGAGGTTCTAAAAATTCTGAGATTGTTAACTTCTCTCTTTTTTTTTTTTTTTTTCTTTTGGTGTAGTATCATCATGGTAGTTTCTCTCTACGACATTGGCTTCAACAATCGGATTGGCTTCCCACACTGGAAGCTACTCTTGCTTTGGATGAGGAATCTGTAAGGAGGGTGGGAGATGATACAGTTGGAGGCCCTGCTGTTTCTCGACAGTTGCGACTTATCCGAATTCTCATGAGGGATCTCTTGATTGGAGTATGCTCCACATATATACGCATATTGTATTCTCCTTTTATTGTTGCAGTACTGGATACGTATCATTTTTTGTTTAGCATTGAATTGACTTACGGTGTTTCTGCTGTTTATTTTCCCTAGGTAAATTACTTACACAGCCATGGACTTGCTCATACAGAGTTGAGGCTGGAAAATGTGCATATTAGCCCTGTGGACAGACATATTAAAGTGAGTACCAATCTTTATCTTTACTCTATTAGAAGTTTAAAATTTGATGCTATGCCTTTAGGGTTGTTGATCTTACTTTTTACTAATTGCAAATATAATATCTATAATAATATCCAGCAATACAATGTTTTGATGACCTATTTCAAAGTTCTCTTGTTGCTGATCTTCTCAGGCAGATCTTGAATCTAATTCAGTCATATTTTTATGCAGAACTTGAAGTTAAAAGTTTTGTTACTACTAAATTCCTGTAGAAAAGTTGCTAGTCCGTGAAATATAGAAAAAGATTGTATTATATTGACTGTAGAATTGATAATATGAAATTGAAAAGTTTAGGTAGTTTTCAGACTGCACTGGCTCATAATCTTTGGTGACTTCACCTATGTAAAAGAAGAATATCTACGAAGCGAAGCATTTGTAAACTGAAAGTTAGCATTGATAGGCTGGAAATCTCTGTTACAAGAAAACGTGGATTTGTTTAGGAATGATTCGAATGAAAGACAATGGTTAGGGATATCTGTTAATGATGACAGTTCCTAATCAATGCATCCACGGTTCCCACAAGTATGATCCACGGTCTGAAATAATATTCATCCCACAAGTATGATTCACTGTCTGAAATAAATTAAATAATATTCAGTGTTTATAAGTTAAATAATCTTGAAGTTGTAAGATGCCTCTACCAGAGAAAAAAATATGTTGTAAGATGTTTTTTTAGTCTTTACAAATTTGATCATATAGTGTAATGGGAATTAAGTAAAAGGAGTGGAATGGGTGTTCACTGCCTTCCAGAGTGGTTAATGACGGTCATTGGTAAGTGTTACTGAGAGTTGCTGATTGATTTAATTAATTTGAGAGATGTTGTAATCTAAATCACCCTTTAGTAAATCTTGGTGCTTCTTGTTGCAGGTCTACTAGTTTTGTTCTCTTTATGTCCTACTCTTATCAGTATATATCCTGACTATTTACTTTACCAGGTAGGGATATTGGGAAATGCTGCTGACTTTTATGAGAGTGATCCAGATAATAGTACATTGGATGACAACTTGGGTAGACGACAAATGATGATTGCATTTGACATGAGGTATGGTGCTGGAACAAAATGAGGCCTACACGTGTTTACATGTGAAATTTGTCACAAGTTATTTATTAAGTTCTTTCTGCTTATATGTGTAACACAGATGTGTTGGATTCATGATGGTAAAAATGGTATTGCGGGAACTCATGGATCCATTAATCTTTTCAAAGTTCAAGTCATTCCTTAGTAAGGTATAAGATTCTCAACCTCTCATTGTAGACAAGATTTCTTATAAAAAGAGAACACACTTTATCCTTTTTCCCCCATTTGGATGGAAGTGAGCAGGCTGTTGGATATTTCTACATATGTTTTCCTAACTCAAGATGTTTGACATTTAAATTTTATGATTTATCTCTTTTACATACAAACAAAAAAAGTGAATAAAATTAATCAGACTTAAGCAAGTTGAACTACTTTGCATGCTTGCATTACTGACTGACCAAACTTCACAACATGAAAAATAATGGGGATCTATATTATTTAGAATAGCTGTTCTGGACCAGGTCCGAAACGGATTAAGAAAAGCGTTCTACTGAACCTGAGGTATTTGATTGATTGATTGTCAATGTTTTAGGCATAGTTGCAGTTGCATATTGACTTGGACCCTTTTCCTTTGGATGGGATCTATATTACTTAGAATAGCTGTTCTAGACCAGGTTTTAGGCACAGTTGCAGTTGCATATTGACTTGGACCCTTTTCCTTTGGATGGGGATCTATATTATTTAGAATAGCTGTTCTGGACCAGGTCCAAAACGGATTAAGAAAAGCGTTCTACTGAACCTGAGGTATTTGATTGATTGATTGTCAATGTTTTAGGCACAGTTGCAGTTGCATATTGACTTGGACCCTTTTCCTTTGGATAGGATCTATATTACTTAGAATAGCTGTTCTGGACCAGGTTTTAGGCACAGTTGTTGCAGTTGCATATTGACTTGGACCCTTTTCCTTTGGATGTTCTCTAGGAAGTCACTTTTGATACAGCATGCATATATAGAATATCTGGACCATCATAATGAAGTCTTCAATAGGTGATATCAACTTGGCCATAAACTAGGGAAAAAAAAAAAAACTTGGCCATAATACAGTGTAAGATGCACTATTGTCTTGATACCCCTATTAAATTGCTTTGCATTTACAAACATAGAAATACAACTTTACAACACGTCCAACTGAATCTATATATTTCTTTCCTGCTTGTACGATCTTCCACTGCCTCGCCATCACTGCTCCATTCTGAAAAATAAAAAATTGGTTGATTTAGCATTAATGTACCCGCACATTGCAGTTTATAAGTGTATTTGTTCAACTTTCATTAGACAAAGAAAGTGCAGCAAAGTCTAAATTAGGCTTGATTGAAGATCTGGTTAATGAGTTCACTTCATCATGTGTTTAATTCCCCTCTTACTTGCTAATGCAGGGAAACGACCCATCCTGCTTGCGTGAGTTTCTGTTGCAAACTTTGAGTAGGAATTCCTCATCAGGAAATGCTGGACTTCAAGTTAGTATCTGTTGGTTGAATACCATTTGCTTCCCTTCCTCTACTTTTCTTTCCATTTGTTTGAAGATCTAGTGACCTATTTGCACATTATCCGTCTTGCAGATACTTGATAGGAACTGGGGTGCAGGCTGGAACCTGCTATCCTTGCTGCTGGCAACCAAGTCTTCTGAGCGAATCAGGTATATCTGTTAAAATCTTGGTTAAAAAGTTTCTCTGTTTAAATTTTTTTATTATTATTTTCACAACCACGAAATACGCTAGCATAATTTTTGGAAAGTGATGGCTGCAGTGCAATATATGAAGACTGTGCACACAAATATTTTTTTAAAAGTTAAAAAACTTTGATCTCATGTGATGCATTTATTTAGCTATGATATCAATGTATGTCGTTTTATTTGAAAATTTCCTTCATGATTCTCGTCTAGATTGATTGGAGAGAACTGTAACTCCACAAATTACAAAGCGCATTCAATTACAAATTAGGAAAATCTTTTGATTACCTTGTTAGGATGCTCAACACGAGAGGTTTTTAAGAAACAGGCATGTTCTTGTTAATAGAGCTTGGAATTCTAATATATATTGAGGTTTTAAAGTTTCAGGTATAAAATATACGAAGTATAAATTTAAAATAAATCTGCAGCTTTAATTTTTAAAAAGAAAATAACAAAATTCTTGATAAGCAAATTGCATTATATATACATATATGTTTTTTTTTCAAATTAGGATATACCTTTTGTTGCCCCTCTTTTCCACGCTGATGGGAGCAGGACAACAGGGAGAGTTCATTAATACAAAAATGGTAGGAGGATTCTCTAACAGCCATTTTGGTATCAGGAGGCAATAGTATAAATATATGATTTGCACATTACATGGATTTATTCCCCCCCCACCTATTTCAGAAGCATTCATTTTCCATCGTCAAATTGGACTTCTAGGGCTTTCTTTATTAGACATTCCAACATTTATCACCAAGTTGATATTTTGAAAAGAAAAAAAATAAATCCTATCTGGTGGTGAAATAGAGGATTCTCTTGACGATAATAATTAGAGATTGTACATACTGAAAATAAGACAAATAGTGATTAGAGATTGCATTTTGCACTATCCATAACAATAACTCCGGTGTGCTTCACAGTTGTTTGGATGCTCTGAGACACCCATTTTTGTGTGGGCCGAGATGGCGGATAGACCCATCCATGGACATCATCAGATGGGGTCTTGGTTCAACAGCAGTTCGAATTGCAGAGGAATACATATATGGCAGGCAACAGGTATGCAGGTTATTTTCCCTCTGAATCAAGCTAATTATCTGCTTTTTTCAACAATGTAAAGTATTTGTTCACTTCCAGCTGTTAGCTTGAGTGGCCTTTCCCATCAACCCCAAAAGGGGAAGTACCTACTTTGGTTGAGACACGCATGTTCTTTTTCCTATAAAAGAAAATTGAGGTATTCATTAGTTAGAAGGATATTGCTGTTCTGATTTGTCATCATCTACTCTGATATTCCGGAAACCTCAGAATTAGCATGCATAAAGAGAACCTGTGGTTTTCTTCTGTAATGATGATGGACAAAGGGAACCTGTGGTTTTCTTCTGAAATGAGTATAGTATTTAAACTCCTTGAATTTGATTGAGACTCTGAATTGGCAGGAATTTTGTCTCACCAGTTGGCTCTCCCATGAAGGTGGTTTCTTTTTTCTGATACTAACATAAATAGAATAATGATGATTTTGGTGGGAGAAGTAAAACCTTAATGCAGATTTTTTTGTGTGTGGATGATTTACTCTATATTACTTGGTGCAAGAATTTGAGATATTGTTTGGCTAGCATAGTTCAGAGAGACAAATTGTCAAATTTGATTTTCTTGTAGACAGTAGTTTTTTCTCCATGCCATGTACTCTGTTGTGGCAATGAGACTAGCAGATATTAGTAACATATTACAGACTAGAGCATTAGTTTCTACCTGAGCTTAAAAAGGTTCTGTGATTGTATGTGAAAGCTGATATTACCTGGATGGAATGCATTCATATTGGTGTATATCCAATGTTGCAGATATTTTTTGTCTTGCTACTAAACCTTATATTTGCATCCTTGTATTTGATTGGTGCTGCTTTGATTGTTAAATATCTTCTAGTAAAGGGTTATTTCCTGTTTCAGCGTGCTAGGCTTGCCCACTTCATTGAATTGATGGAGATGCTGAATTGTCATTCAAAACCGAAGGTAGCAAATGTTGAAATGTTCAGTTTTTTTTTTTTCTTTTAAACATCTAATGTTTCTATCCCAACCTGGATATGGAGAATTTTTTTTCTTTCATAGTTGATACTCACACACACATCCCTCCATGGAGGCTTGAACCGTTGACCTCCCTTTGGGAAGTAAGGGCCTGATACCGCTAGGCCATCGGTCCGTTGGTGAGAATTTATATATGTATATATATATATTTTTTGTTTTGTTACTTTTAATTTAAACATTTTACTCAAATATCAGATTTTTGGCTCCTTTAGAACACATCATTACTTTCACAATGTTTCACACGTTTAAATGTGGATACCATCCGAAAAAAAATGGGGATAGCTGTTTGATAACTAGAACTCAGTTACATTAAAAATGTGGATACCTGTTTAATAACTATAACTCAGTTACATGAGCTCTTTAATTCCAACTACTACTAAAAATCTTAACTATTTATGTTTTGTGTTGTATTTTCCTTATAATATTTTTCAGTCGTTTTTTGTTGTTTTGGAACTGCCCTTGCTGCTGGGATTCGGCTAAAGCCTGTGCCCTACCTCACTTGGTTGATTTTGGTGTCCAAACAACTATAGCCACTCTGAACAAAAAGAACACCAGTTATTATTATTATTTTTTTTTTTGCTTTTCTAATTTTCTTTTGTTTTATGTGTGGGTAGGGTGCTGGGGACAATTGTTCCCCTGATTTTAAAACTTGCAGATTAGTTTCATCCTATTTCAATTCAAACTTGCAGAATTGGCTAGAGTTGCTGCCTGGAAAATGGCGGCTGTTATACTGCACTGGGAGGCACATTGGATTGACCCTTCGCCAGCCTCCTGCCCGAGTCCTCATTGGTGATGTGCACCTTAGTGTATATAGAACATCAAAGTTGAACACGGCTCTTTCATTCATTTCTGACATTAGTTTCACGGTCTTAATTGGCCAAGATTGGCCCCATGACAAGGCTGGAGTAACTGGAAATTTGCAAGTGAAGTCAATTTTCAGATTAACAGCTGGGAGACGACTATATCTCAAGGAACAAAACGCCACAAGAAAGTTCCCTTCAGCGACAACAAATGCCCAGGATTCCGTAGTTCAGAAACTCTCGGGTAAGAAATGGAGGAAAGCAATTCCTTTCAAGGATTTACCATCAAGTCTTCCAGTAGCCAAGCTCGCTTCTCGTGAGATTGAGGTTACGATGGATCTCAGTGATCCGTTGAGTAAAAATGTTGATTCTGCGCAAGATGTAATTCGAGAAATCCGGACACAAGTCCCACCTGAAATGTTTGATCTCTCCAAACTAGTGTGTGGAACATATGTTGACTCAAGGCTGCTGGTCCTCCGCGGGGTGAATGGGTCAGCGCTCTTATTTACAAGGTCTTGTGCAAGTGAGAGCTGTAGATAACAGAAAAGTTCGTTTTATTATTTAATTGTATATTCTGTTGTAAATTTTGTGATTGCTGATATTTGGATTCAAAAGGATTGAAATAATTGAAAGGTACCTTGTTAGAAGTTAAACTAGATCGGCCATTAAATATGTCATCTAATGATCCATTAGATATTTCACTTGTTGAATGTTTGACTTGGGAGCTTCCATAATGAAAAAAAAAAAAAAAAAAAATGAAAAGAAAAAGAAGAGGGAAGAAATCAAATCATTTGACTGCATGACTATCCAATATTTCATCCCAACACCCTTGCTAACCTTAGCACCTCTTGTAATTCCATAACATTTTGATCCCAACTATGAAGATTTATTACAGAATTTATAAGACTTCTAAAGTATTTCCCGTAATTGATTCATATAAACTTTATGATGTCTAAATTACTTGCCTTTTCGAAAGTATTTGATTATAATTTTTTTAAGAATTATGTTGTCTCAATTTTGAATCCATCCTTATTTTTAATTACAAAGTTAAAGACATACCATAAAGAAAAAAAATTGACTCGTTCATGATAAATGATCAATTCATAACACGATAACAACATAGTATCACAAAGTAAAGTGAAGCATTTTATTCAATTTATTTTCATATTTGTTTAAGCTTAGGGCAAAATCATTATTTTTTTTTTAGCACGGAGTATTTTGTTTTTCTACAAACCGTTTTAACATGTCTCACACTAAAATTGTACAAAAGTTATTCCTTTTGCAAATCCCATTTTATTCCAAATGTAAAATAAAATTCTATATTAATTACAATCCATTTCCTTTTCCAATTCTAATTTCAAATCCCCAAAGTGTCGTTTCCAAAGAAAGCAAGGTACATACGTAAATAACCATAAAATTTGGGGGGACTTCCAAATTTTCCCGGACTGAAAATGTTCTCTTGAACACTCGAGAGAGGGAGAGAGTGTGTGTGATTTTTGTCGATCAGAAGCAGAAAGGCTTAATTACAATTCCCCATAAACAACAATGTGGAAGCTTAACCAGTCTATTTTGGGTGGAGATGAAGAGAGAGAAGACAACTCGTGGGATGAGAGTGAAGGCCTCTGCTCTCTCTCTCCTATGCAGGTACTTCAAATTTTATTCGAAATTTACTCCAAATTCGCAATTTATTGTAAACCCATTTTGATTCGCACTTTTTTTTTTTTTTTTTCTTTTTTTCCTTTTTTTTTTTTTTTTCTGTGTTTTTGTACGAGCAGAGAATGTACGCGTTCGCTGCCTGCATGATCGCTGGCCTTGTTTGTATGTTTCTGGTATGACCTATTTATACAATTTTACTCAAACTTGTGTAATACTGTTTTATTAGGTGTTCGATGGATTATTTCGATTGTTTATAGTTCCTATTATATGTGAAATAAATGATGAATTTTAGACAGAATTTTTATATAAATCCTGATTTCATCCGTAGTGATCTAGTTGATGCAAAACATTGCTGAGTGAGCTGAACTTCATAAATATATAGTGAACTCCAATAAAAGACCATAAAAATGTTTTTTTTTTATTTTATTTTTTATTTTTATTTTTTAAAAAGGTTTGTAGTTACAACTTGTGTAATACCTTTTCAAAGAAGTCAAGAATAAGATCTCTCAGAAATAGATTAGGAAAACCTTTTAACTATAGAGATTTAGAACCACACTTTTATTAAATATAATGTAGTTGAAAATTGAAATAACTTAACAAAGACAGTGAAGGAAAAGGTAGTTTATGAAAACCGGTAGAGCCTGCTTGTTTGGAGGGGCATGGATTTAGACATAAGTTGAGTTCCTAGGTGTCTGATGCTTTTTAAATGAGCATCTTTTCTTGATCTCGAGCTTTTGTTTGCCATTAGCTGTTTTCCTTGAGCTTCAACGCAAGGCAGGTTGTAATCCTGTACAACCTTTAAAATTTATGGTGGCATTACCCTTATTACAAAACTACATACTAACACGGAGGTGTTTACCCCAATATTCACTTAAAGAAGGAATGATTCTTTGCTCATCTGCTATCAAGGAAATAAAAAGCTCCTATACTACGTTGTGGAATCCCTTCCAAGGCATTAATAATTTTTCTTAATATAGACATGATTGAGATTGATTGGTGCTCACAGCCATATTCCTTTCCCTTCATGGTTAATTGACTTTTCATTTGTTTTCTCCTTTTGTGTAAAGAAGAACTTATCGTATACTACTTTTTTTATGCATTTTGGTTATGTTGAATGTATTATCTTGCTTATTGCCACTGTTGATATTCATCATATTTCTTTTTGCTAGTGCTTTCAAGTATCGTGATTCTATGGCTTAATCTTATCTTAAGATATCCTCTTCAAAGCCTTTTAGAAAAGCTAAACCTTTTCATTTCCACTACTTCAAGTGTTACAAGAATGACACAAACTAGGATAAAAAGTTGTGAATAGATGTTAATGTACATGATGTAAGGTTGTGATTGGATTCATAAATGTGCAGGGGGTGAATTGAGCCTTTAAATCCATATTCATTGAGTAGAAAAAACGATACACCGCAAGATTTAGAAAAATTTTTTGGGGGGAAAAGTATGAAGAAAATTTATGAACTTATAAAAACATTCTAGAAATTGTAGTTTGAGTGATTTATATCACAAGCTGTTAGCATGCTAGTGTTCAACTGATTAATCTTTAGCTACCTGATGTGGTTATCCTGATTACTTTTCAGCGAAGATTTAGAATAGAGTTTTGTAATGATTTTAAAACATTAATTTCGTAAGTTGGTATCCTTTATTGCAGAACCAAATAGATAAATAGTTCCAATTTGCCATGTATACTTTATCATTAGGTTTGGCATGTTGCACATGCTCTTTCAGATCAGCATGGTACTAATGTCCCATAGCCACCTAGGAGACTTTGGATCACTTCCTCTCAGTTGTTGCTTCTAAGAGACATCTCAGTCCCCTCCACAGTTTCAACAATGGTGTTGCATCCCTCTGAGGCAGCTGACACCAGATTTGACCTTTGTTGGGTTTTTTGTACCTTGTAACTAGGATGCCAGGAACAATTTTTTCGCCCCATAGAATATCTTCCTGTGTTATTGATTGATCAAGGATCTAGGCTTGTTGGTTGAAGCAGCATATCAGGCACTTAATTCCTTTTAGTTAAGTATCAGTCACTTCCATATATATGATAATGGCACACATCCCTTCTTTTTGCCTTGAGAAGAAGAAGACTTCCCCATCTGTCTACTAAATAGTTGGAACACCATCTGCACTATTTGCAGCCCCAAAAACACCAAACATTTGGCTGTCGGCTGGAGTACTCAGACTGTCTCTGAGTAGCTTTCCTGTGTGCCAGATAGCTTATTAATTTTCCCTTGATTATCGTTTGGAATAACATGCGGATTCCTTATGCACGTAGGAGTACTATTCCCTACTATTTCCTCTCTATGGTCATTTTTCTTTCCCTTTAAGACCCATCACTGCTTTCATTCACACATATCACGTTTTCAGGTTACATGTCCGAATCACAAGGATATGTGGTAAAAATACTGATTTATTAGTTGAGCTGCTATAAAAGCCCTTTCAAATTACATTCTTCTAAATGAATATGTCTCATAGTTTTGAACCAGATCTCCAACTAAAATATATTCTGGAATATAAATGTTCTTTTTTCCCCAATAAGGATAGTATAAATGATGTTGCTTTGTAATCGAACCTTTGAGTTCTCTCTCTCTCACTCTCTTCTTGTGTGTGTATGTCTTCTTCTACTTCTTTATTTTTACCATCCCATATATTTGTACTTGCAATTTTCTTAGTTCGAAAGGTGTCTAAAATTTTCTGAATATGCAATACTTGTTTTAGTTACAAAGCATGACATGTTTCAAATTTTGAATAAGCTATATAACTTCCGTTTCACGAATGGAATTGGAGATTTCCTCTCTCTCTCTCTCTCACACACACACACACACACACACTCTTTGAGCAAAAAAGGTTTAATACACAATAATGAACTTTTTCATATTTAGCTAGGAATTTTCTTGTTGATTTGGTATGTCTCAAGTCTTCACATTTAGAATATCTAGTATCTTGATGCACATGAAGAATTCCATAACTGTAACTGAATGGGAAAATGGAAATGTACTGTTCAATTCCCAGTATCTGTTTAACATCTTCTTTTATGTTATGCTTCTTTTGCAGTCACTGATTGTTTTTGCCAAACCCATCAAGTTTGCAGTGTTATTCACTTTTGGGAATGTGTTGGCTGTCGGAAGGTAGGATACTAAACTGACTGAGTCAAGCATAGTTAATTCATTGAACATTGTGTGCTTGGCATCCAAGTCTGGCTGGACTACCAAGTTGCTGCTTGTGAGCTTGTAACTAGAAATAAGTGGAAGAAGTGACATATATGCATATATATATATATATATATATATATATATATATATATATATATATTGACACTTTTCCTACATTCATTCTCGATTTAATTTTGTTGAATATTTTACTCTCCTTAATTTCGACAGATTCTGAACTCGTGTCTGTGTGGCAGCACAGCCTTCCTCATTGGACCTGGGCAACAGATAAGAATGATGTTTGATCCTGTCCGTGTTTATGCTACAGCTATTTATGTTGGATGTGTTGTTGTTGCTCTCATCTGTGCTCTTTTGGTAAGGCTGATATTTGATTGATAAGCGTGGCAGACCAGTACTAGTGCCTAGAAAATGGGAAAATTTTGTCACTTTGGCAAGCCTAAGAGGTTCTTGCATGAGAACTCTGGAGAATACATAAGTACCTGAACGTGGATACGTTCCCACAATTAGGCAGTTTCCACTACTCAACCTCCATGCTGAAATAGGTGTTAATAAGATAACTTTTTAACCATCCCAGTTCTTTTGGCTATTTGGAGAATGTAATGAGATTGGATGTCGTGTGTGTCATTCCAACTGTCTTTCTTCCCGGGCCTTTTCCTTGGGGTTCTATATTTTATTCTTGTCATCAGCATCGGCTTGAAAGAATTCAAAATGAAATTTAGATAATTTGAAAAGGTTTTTAAGTTCATCAAATATGGGAAGAACGAGAGCAAAAGTTTGAAATGGTTCAAAATCCTTATGGACTGGTTTACTTTGTTCACTCATGAGCCATGACCTCTCTGGATTCTGTCCTTGTGGTGTCAACACAATAACTTCTATGTTCTTGTGTTGTCAAACACAACAACTATGCTGTATCTTTGCATTTAAGGGCAGAAATAACTATGGGAACATTTTCATAGTAATTTTTTTGGGATTCAATCAGTTCTTACTGTCTCACCTTTTTTGTCTTGCAGATCCATAGTAAGATTTTAACAATACTTGCAATTATATGTGAGATCTGTGCCCTTCTTTGGTGAGTTTCTTTTTCACTTTCATAATTCTTGCTTGTTTATGCATGCACTATTCTTTCCCGATACTGTGACTGCATGTATGACGTGTCATATGATAAATTGACAAGACTCATCATATAAGCATCATACCATGTGAACAAAATATATAAAAAAAAAAAATTGGAGTTGAGGCAATTGCCCAATTATCAGAATTGTATCTGGATTTTGTGTTGCTGGAGGCCCAATTATACAATGGGACTTTTAACCAATCCTAATAATATATTTGTTGTATAAGAATACTCCCATGATGTTACGGGTTTGATTACATTGAAGCTACAAAAAGAATATGATACTTCAGCTCTGATACACTTGAATTTGGGGCATTGAGAATTTGAGATTGTTTACAAGTATGATGTGAAGCCATGAAGGTGAAGCTTTATTATGCTTTTAAGCTTCATATTTATGATGTTTTATATATTTATTTTTAGAAATAATTGACAAATGTAATATATGGAAAAGAACTGGGAAAAAATAATAAAACTATTGATGTACCGAATCCAGTTCAAATTTAAAATTACAAAATAAAAGAGTCTTCCTGATGTGCAGTGCTGTGTCAACCTTCTGTTTTGCCTATGTAAGTCTGACATTTTTTTTCTCAATATTTCCTCCTTTTTTGGGAAAATGATACAGAGAAATATGTCTTTGTCTACAACATAAAAGTCTCCTTCGATCATTAGTTTTGGCTATAACAACTGTTGCAAAGAGTAAAATGATAGGTTTCCGTAAGTGTAAATGTTGGGCTTTTGTTCTCATGATAGACTTTTGAAATAATTGCGAATTTATGCAAGTGCTTTAGAAGATTTCACAGTATTCATGACTAATATACTGAACATCAAGCACACATTACAGAATTTACAGGAATTACTATAGACTAAAATTCTACATTTTTGAGAACCTGTAAATTTATTGATCACAATTCTGTTCTTTTGAACTGGTTATTCATTTACCATCCTCAACTGCTGAAAGTGGTGATATTGGTGGGACATGGACACTTCCCGTCTCTTCATTAATTCAGCAAGCATGTCTTTCTATGGTTTTAAGTTAATCTTCGGTGAATGGTGTTTAACAAATACCTTTGTGAAGTGTATTGTCCTCTCTCACCATTGCAAGTTCTATTTGTGATTTAGAATAGTTTCTTATGTAGTCATTTTTTATCTGTTTCAGGTACAGTTTAAGCTACATTCCATTTGCCCGCGGAATGGTTTCTAACTTGATGATACGTCTTTTTGACACTGAGATATAGACAATGCAACTTCAAAGGATTGTATCTCCAATTTAATCGTCAAAGAAAATTCTGAGGCACTGAGATTTGATTGACTCCTCCATATTCCCTTTTCTCTAATTTTTTAATTTATTTTTCCCTCATCCTTGAGTTGGCTTGTAATGCGTTATATATTAGGGTTGGATTGTTTGGGCTTGTGGTTGTTTTGGTGATGGAGGTTGTATCTTTGGGTTCTTTTCTTATTCCTGGTGGTTTCCTCTTGTTTCTCTTTTACTTCCTTTGATGTGTCAATGAGACAGTCAAGGCTTCATTTATTGAGCAGAAAAGAAAAAGCAACAGGGCCAGGCCTGTTAGTAAGATTAGTAGGAATTGGAGATGCAGAAGCTGATTTCTCTTGTCAATTTCCATACTTCAAAAATATTCAAACTGTCCAAACTACAATAATCTCATTTTAAAATCTAAATTTTGTCGCTCCGTATAGATCATGACGCTCTCTTATGTCATTTTTGTTTATCCTGCGCTTACATCAACAATTTTACATTGTCAACATAACAATTTTAAGTTAACATTCTTGGAGAATCGAATTTACTAATCGGAGAACATATTTGTGCTAAATTTTTTATAATTTTAAATTTATCAATTTAGTGCAGTCAAACATAACAAAAATATAAATACATTAAATTAAAGTAGTGTTATAACACTGTAACACAATGTAATATATTTAGGGATTGTATTTTTTTATGTTGGGTGTTATATCTTTGACATATTGTATGGATATTATATTTTATAATTACATTGTAAAGGTGAATCAGAATTTAAGAAAAGTAGTAGCCAAGGGTAAATTGAATTCTCAATGGAAACAATTGATCTTCCTATGCCCAATTTTCATTTTTTATTTTATTTATTTTTGTCTTTGGTAATTTCCATTAATTCAAGACGGCCACGTTTGACTATCATTATGTGCCACGTGGCCTTGCACTAATCTAACACGACACCATTAAAGCACCGTTGATCGGTTACTAATTTATCTACCCATAATTTCTGGGTCTGGAATGGGACTATAAATAAAGAAAGCTACCATCGGTTTGTTATTTCATTTGCTTTCTGCAGGACAACGGAGGAGAAGAATGGCAAGCAATCTGTGCCGTCTATTCTCATCAGCGATTGAGCTGTCGACACCAAAACTAGGTCTATATAACCTGAGATCTGGAATAGTGAGTCTCTCCGACTCCAACTCAGCTATGAGATTCATTTCCTCTTCCTCTCATCATTATCAACAACAACAACAAGAGACAAACCCTAACAAACCAGAAGCAGAAACCTCAGAGATGAAAGAGAAGCTTCAAAATGAGAAAGAAGATGTTGAAGACGACGGCGATGCCCTTGACCTCAATGAAGAGACCGGTGAGATCGGAGGGCCCAGAGGTCCCGAACCCACCAGATACGGCGACTGGGAACGAAATGGTCGCTGCTATGATTTTTAATCGTACGAGATCGATTCACCACCCCTGGTTTCTAGAAATCAAACAGTCTTGTGAGGTTAGGATTATTCTGATTCCATGATTTCACAAGATTCTTCCTTTATTACTGTAATATCTTTTTTCTTGTTGCAATTTTGGTTTCGACAATCTACACTGTTGTTGCGGTTTGCACTTCATAAATAATAGTAATCTTTTTTCTCTTATATATATATATATGTATATGTTGTTGCTAACTTAATTTGAATTTCTATTTTAATAACAATAATTAGGATAAAAGCATTCATTATATTACCAAAAGAAAATTAGTAATATGATAAAATATTATAAATTGCATGTAATAAAACATATATATTAGATAATGTAATGTTAAGACAAGGATTGAATTTATACTTTTGTCAAGCTTTGGAAAAGTGTGTAACCTGTGGAGTTAAAGAAAGTAGGCTCACACAATGAAAAGTTTATCTTTGATGTGTGACACTGTAATTTGGCTTATCTTTTCGGAGTAAATTATTTAGTTGCATTTTTACTTATCAAAAAAAAAAAAAATTATTTAGTTGCATATTTGGTCATTTTAAACAGGTTTATCTTGCAATTCTTTTTTGTGATCATCATCATTGATGGGTTAAATAAAAATGCAATTGACAAATTGAGCTTTCATCTGTTTGAACTTGAGCTCGATAGTTCAAGTCTAGTCCAATATTTGAGCTTGGCAAACGAATAACATCGTAATTCCCCCGCCCCACTCAAACCACCCCCTAAATATCAATTTAGGGCTTTGTTAATTATATCAATTGCCTGATCTGAATTAAGTGTAAAATTCCCAGAAACTAAAAAAATAATCCCTTGATATTAATTAGTTTTGCTGTTCATAATAAAAGTATGGTTGTGTTTTATGTTATAACAGTGTTCTACAACTTAGAAATTTATGTTCAGATGAAGTTTTTTTTTTTTTTTTTTTTTTTTTTTCGATAAATAGATAAGGTGAAGAATTATAGCAGAGACCTTTTTAAAATTTTTTACTTTTTTTTTTAAAAAATATTTATTTCATTACCTTTTGGGATATAATGCATAAAATGTTTATTTGTGTGTTGTGTGGTTCAATTGAAAAAAGGAAGCCCTTTTCTGTTTATGTATGGTGTACAAAAAACTTTTTTCAGTTAAAAAAATATACATCTACATGTAGTAACAGTATGTGCTTACTATACTATCACAATTGTTTAATAATTCAACCAGTGACTTTTCTTATAATACCTTGCTACCGTATTTTAGTTAAATCCAAGATATATATTTTGCCTGCTCCTCTAATAATGCAATAAATTTGTTCTCTATTACCATTTGCACTCGTACTTATGTATTAGTGCAGACATGGTTCCTACCCAAGACAAATACTAATAGCTTCAGAAACATCAAATTTACCTTGTTACTCTGATTCAAAAATAACTTCCAATTCTGCATCAAAACTTCCTGTAGACATGATTGAGCTATTCGTTTGAACTGTCGAACCAAAAGGACTTGGGGGCACGTTCAGAGTATGTCCTTCCCCTTCCAGCATTTGAACTACAGTGTTCATGGCAGGGCGATCCACTGGGTACCACTGAATGCACCATAGTCCAACAATAGTTAGTTTATTCGCTATCTTGGCATGTTCCTCTTCTTCAATGTGCATCCCTAGCTCTTCTCCTTGATGCAAGCGATTATAAATCCATTGTGGGAAGTATGTTTGGCTGGTTTCCTCTACGGTAACATTACCCTTCTTCCTCATACCAACCATATCAAGTAGCAACATCCCAAAGCTATAAACATCCGATTTATAGGACACAACTGCAAAATTCATAGAAAAAACTTCAGGGGCAATATAGCCTATCGTCCCTCTTGCCCCAGTCATAGAAACTACACTTTTTTCCTTGGAACACAACTTTGCCGGGCCAAAATCTGAGACCTTTGGATTGAAGTTGTAGTCTAGCAAGATATTATGAGGCTTAACATCAAAGTGAAGTATTTGTTGATCGCACCCTTAATGAAGATATTCAATTCCCTTGGCTATGCCTATACCAATGCCTTGTAGCTTCTCCCAACCAAGTGATAAGTTTTTGCTATTTTCCGTAGATATGAACTTTTGTAATGAATCATTTGGTAAGAACTCATAAACAAGAGCTCGTTTAAATCCATCAGCACAGAACCCAACTAGGCGAACAACGTTGACATGGTGGATTCTACCAATTGTTCCCACTTCATTAATGAAATCTTCCCCTTTTCCTGTGGAATTGTTGAGGACCTTAACTGCAACAAAAATTTCATTGGATAGTTTTCCTTTGAATACAGTTCCATAACCTCCTTGTCCTAGCTTGTCCTTAAATTGATTTGTAATCTTCTTAATATCAGCATAAGAGTATCTTGTGGGCTTGAAAGCTCTATAGTCCTCCAAAAACTTTTCAATCTTTACTTGGTTCTCTTTCTCCATTTTATTTGTGGTATGGACACAATAGAGTACATTTGCAATTACCACAAGAAAAAGGAGACCTAAGACTACACCTGCAATTTAACAAATCAGGGTTTTAAACCTTCCTCAATAGTCCAGTCCCTGGTAATATTAGTAGCTACTAGTACAAAAGAACGTTAGACAAATTCACCTGTAATTAGTAGCTTTGATGCTGCTGATGTATCTGTATAAGATAATAAAATAATTAATTCATCATGTTCATGAAATAATAAAATCACGATAACATTTTTTTTTTTTTTTTTCGTTTTCAAAAAATGATTAACTGTTCAATTAATTAATTTTGTTTGTCTACAAGCAACCAGAGTGCAATTTAATCACAGTAGAAACCTTAGTTTTCTCCCCCTATGTTTTATATCACAATGGTTAGGTGAAATTCAAGAAATGCTCTATGGGGGTCTGAGTGTTGGTTAAAACTTTTAATATGACCTTCCGATCGGGCAGAGGTGGTATGTGTGAGCTCAGTTCAGTTTGCACAAGTTGTTTATTTGGTGTTCAGATTTTTGGCTCTGCTTGAGGTTCGATCTTTGGCTCTGCTTGGGGTTGGATCTTGAGAGATATGGAAGACCTGAGGTTGGGTTATTTCACCCAGAAGTGAAAAATAAATTATCAGTTGCTGGTATGTGTAGCGGTGTTGACTGCTAACGTAATTTGTGGGATGGTTTTGGGTTACGATGTGTAGCAATGGAAAAATTTTGCTTTGTACGACACAAGATACCGAGTGTTTCTTAGCGGTCTCTTGGACGTGGCGTGCAAGTTGGTGTTTCTTTATACTGTTTTGCTATAAAATGTGGGTGTATTTAAGAAGACTGTATGCGCCTTGTTGGCGCATCAAGTTATGTGTGTTATTAGCGCATCAATGTACAGGATGCAGGTGGTTGGCGTATGCATGTTGTTGGCATATGCCTGTGGTTGGCACTTCAATGTGTTCGTTGAGGTATGTGTGTGGTTGGGCATGTTGGTTGAGGTGTGTGTGGTTGGTATGTTGAGTGGAGTAAGTTGGTTGGGCGGTGTTTGTGTGTGTGTGTTTTGTTTGGGTATCAAGAGGTGGGTTTTGTATGTTTGAGGGACAAAAACATGGGAGAAATTTTCCACTCTTAAAAATTGGTGTATTGTGTTTTATTGCATCGTTTTTTTATTTTTATTGGCCAAAATATTTGGGATCAACAAGACCAATCAACACTTAATTAGTATCTTAATTTTTAAATCCTTCAAAGAGAACGAGATAAACTAGACAGTAAGAAACGTGATGGTGGTAGATATCCAGCCAACATGCTTAACTTTGTTCTTATTTTTTTAAATTTTGCAATCCATCTTCATGAAATGAAATCATATTTTAATTTATAATCAACAAACCTAGATGAACATTTCAAGAATGAAGTTTCATGGGCAGCATTTATCTTGTGTGATACTAATAATATAATTGAACAGAGTTAAAAAAAATTCAAATAATATTAAACAAAGTTAAAAAATTTCTAACAATTTTAACTTTTAAAGGCATCCATTATTAACATGTGACATAACACTTTGTTCTATTAAAATGAAATGCTTTTGAGATTTGTATGACTGTTTTTTCTCAAAATTTAAAATTATTTTTTTAACAAAAGATAAGAAGAAGATTGAGGCATTTGAGAGAGGGCCTTATTTTTCGGATTCCAGCCGACCCCTTTTGTTTGACAGATAAGTGAGTCTACAGTGAGAGAGTACAATTCTGATACCATCGATGAGGTGAATTTTCTACTACCTCGCATCCTCGTCTTGTTTCTCGATTTTGTCAAAATGTTAAAGCATAGTTAGTAATTATTTTGTTTTTACCAAAAAAAAAAAAAATTAATTACAATTTACAAGCAAATTCAAGATTTACACTGTTCAAGTCATTTAAATTTCTTATATTGTTAACCCCTTCTACTTGTCACTCTCTCTCCATGTCTGGAGGAAGGCTTCTAGCTTGTCTCACAGCCCTTCTGTTTCTCATCCAGCTACCTCAAATTTCCAATGCGAAAGAAAAACGTCAATGTGAACCTTCTTCTTGTGGCAATATTGTAAACATAACCCACCCTTTCCGATTAAAAAAGCGATCCACGCTATTGCGGTGACCATAGGTATGAGCTTGATTGTAAAAACAATCATACAATACTATATTTGTTCTCAAAAAAACACCACTACTACGTACGTACAAGCTATCAACTATGGTAACTTCACAATCCGCCTAGTCGATCCCGGTGTACGCAACGATGATTGCTCCTCCTTTCCTCGTTAGACAATTTCAGCTACGTAGATGTTCCCTATGGCTTTTCAAGATATAGATCTTTTTCGAACTCGAAGAAGAACATTATAACGAAGCCTGTAGTTTTTTTCAGTTGTCAAAATCCAGTGGATTCTCTTCTGTACGTGGACTTTTCTTCTTGTTTCGGTTCCTCCGGGAGCCATTCTTATGTTCATGTTGGGTACCTAAATGCAGCAGATGTGAGGGCCTTGTGCGCCATAGACCTAATTGTTATGACATCGTTGTCGGTTCATGAAAATCAGAGTAACCTTTCGTTTGCAGAAGTCCATAGTGCCCTGGTTTATGTATTTGAGCTTTCCTGGTTTAAGGGTCAATGTGGGAACTGCAGTGGAGGATACTGCTACCTTGATGAAAAAGACCAATCATACTGCCTCGGCGGTCCATGTATATCACTGCCCTGTGGTAAGACATGGATTTTATTTTTATTTCTCTTTTTTTCATTTTATTTTTCTTTTCGGGTTCCTTTTTTTTTTTTTTACCATTCTTGTAATGTCCGAATTTTTTTGGAATTTTTTGAATTTTTATTTTATTTATTTTTTCATACCTCATTTCTCATGTAGCGCGGGCCCCGAGGGCCATTTCAGCCATTTTTCAAGTCAAGGGTTTTAAAAATATATTTCTAATTATTTTAAATCAATTAGAAGTGACGGAATATTTTTTTTAAATTTTTTTTCAGAAGTCGAGACGATTGCCAAATTCGGGAACCTCTCTTGGTTTAACTAAACCACTCGACCAATTCTGGGATCTTCCTTAACCTTGTTCCTCCTCCTCTTGTGACCAGTCCCAAGTCGTTTAATGATGTAATGGTGTACTATGAACCTCAGAATGACGTATTATTTGTGCCTTGACATTGGAAATGAACGTTATATTCTTAGATGACCTCAGGTTTTGGGTAAGTACCCAGATAACGATCCGGACCTCCGAGTTTCGATCGTTACAATTCTCTTCACGTCAAAATTATGCATGCATGCACATTCATGTCAAATATTATGTTGTTACATTTTTTTTTTTTTTTTTTTTTGGGTATTAAATACCTATAAAATTATAAATTGCCCCCACTAAAATTAAAAAAAATAAATAACTGGTTTTGAAATACTTTATTTATTATTATTATTTTAAAAAAGTTAAACAAACACACTTCTCTTAACCTTCCCTTTAAAAAGGAGAGATTATAACGTTGGGTTAAAACTTCGTTTGGTAATTTTGAAATACTTTGCATCATGTTGTTGAAAAATAGTCTTCTATCCACTTTCGAATTGCTATACGTCATTATTGTTTATATATCACTTTTATCCATCTCAGTGAATTTGTAACAATGAAATGTTGGCTCTTGATTTATATATTTAGGTATCAAGGACATGCTGCTCAACATTGCTTACTGTAAGACTTTCCTCAGCATATCATATAATTTAGATGTTTGTCATGCATTGTTAGAGGTAGTATAAATTATTTGTCTATATAAATTAAGAAGATGACCAAAAGTTTCAAAGACAAATTGGGTGTAGGAGGTTATGGTTCTGTATATAAAGGAAAGCTTAGAAACGGCCGTGTTGTAGCAATGAAGATATTGGGAAAGTCTAAAGCTAATGGGCAGGAATTTATCAATGAAGTGGCTACCATTGGAAGGATTCACCGTGTCAACGTGGTGCAACTAATCGGATATTGTGCTGAGAGATCTGAATGCGCTGTTGTGTATAAATTCATGCCTAATGGATCGCTTGAGAAGTACATTTTTCCTAGAGACGAAGAAACTGTCTCCATAAGTTGTGAGAAAATGTACAAGATTTCTCTTGGAGTAGCTCATGGGATAGAATATCTACACTGGGGATGTAACATGCAAATCTTACATTTTGACATAAAGCCACACAACATTCTTATTGATGAGAATTTCATTCCAAAAATTTCTGACTTTGGGCTTGCCAAATTTTATCCGACGGATGATAGCATTGTGTCTCTCACTGCAGCAAGAGGGACGATGGGATACATGGCCCCATAATTGTTTTACAAAAACATTGGTGGTGTTTCATACAAAGTTGATGTTTATAGTTTTGGGATGTTGTTGATGGAAATGGCTGGAAGAAGGAAGAATTTGGACGCAGATGCCGACCGTTCGAGCCAAATTTACTTTCCTTCATGGGTTTATGACCAAATCATTGAAGGAAAGGACATAGAAGTGGGATATGCCATTGAGGAGGAAATGAAAGTTGTAAAAAAGATAATCATTGTAGCATTGTGGTGCATACAGATGAAGCCTAGCGATCGTCCTTCAATGAGCAAAGTTGTAGAGATGCTTGTGGGAAATGTTGAAGTACTGCAAATGCCTCCCAAGCCTTTTCTGTGTCCATCATGGAATCAACATAGATCATACAAAGCTACCAATTCTATCACCTGATTCTATAGATTCCATCAATTTATACATACTAACTTTCTTTACATTCATTCTATCAATTATGTGACTGCAAATTATGCAATCTATTATAGAACTGTGATTGTCTCTAATGGATAATGAGCATGAATTACCCTTTCTTAAGAATGCAGAATCAGTAGAAGACTAATCAAAAGGGTGTTACTCAGTTCATATGATGCAATAAAGTTTTTCTTTATTATCATTTGAAGAATAAAAAGAAATAGAGACAAAACTAGCTACACAACAACAAGCAATAGGGTTGACATGGTACTTATGGAGGAGTGGATGCATGGTTCCTACCCAGGGCAAATACTAAAATAGCATAAAAAAAACAAACTTACCATCACCCTGATTCAGAAATAACTTCAATCTCTGCATCAAAAGTACTTGTAGACATGGTTGGAGCAAATGGACTTGTGGGCACGATAAGTGTTTCTCCTTTGGCTTCCAGGATTTGAAGTACAGTGTTCATGGCTGGGCGATCCACTGGGTACCACTGAATGCACCGCAGCCCAACAATAGTTAGTTTCTTTGCTATCTTGGCATCTTCCTCATTTTCAATGAGCATCCATAACTCTTCCCCTATACTTGAGGGATTATAAATCCATTGTGGAAAGTATGTTTGGTTGGTGTCCTCTTCTGTAAGAGTACCGTTCTTCCTCATTCCCACCATATCAAGTGGCAACATCCCGAAGCAATAAATATCCGATTTACACGACACATTTCCAAAATTCCTAGAAAAAACTTCAGGGGCAATATAGCCTATGGTCCCTCTGGCTGCAGTCATTGAAACTGCGCTTTTTTCCTTGGAACACAACTTTGCTAGGCCAAAATTTGAGATCTTTGGGTTAAAGTTGTGGTCTAGCAAGATACTATGAGGTTTAATATCAAAATGAAGTATTTGTTGATCGCACCCTTGATGAAGATATTCAATTCCCTTGGCTATGCCTAGAGCAATGTCTTGCAGCTTTTCCCAACCAAGTGATAGGTTCTTAACTGCAACAAGAATTTCATTGGAAAAGTTCCGTTACCTCCTTAAAAATTTCGCCCCGGGGGGGCGGAATTATAGTATTTTATCATAACATATATTTATAATATAATGTACATGCATATAAATCAATGTTTATGAGTGTGTGTAGAAAGAGATAGTGATATTTTTGGAATGAAATTAATTTACATATATAGAATATAAGGATTAAGGAAATAATTTTTGAGAAAAAAATAAGAAACATATATAGAATTTTATGAACAATGAGAAAATTCAGAAAGGGGGGAGGGGGGGACATGAACCCCTGAATTTTCTTCCTCTCTTATATTCTATGTATATTTAAAACCCCACCCCCCCTCTGAATTTTCTCATTGTTCATAAAATTCTATATATGTTTCCTCTTTTTTTCTCAAAAATTATTTCCTTAATCCTTATATTCTATATCTATAAATTAATTTCATTCCAAAAATATCCCTCTAATTTTCTCATTGTTCATAAAATTCTATATATGTTTCCTATTTTTTTCTCAAAACTTATTTCCTTAATCATTATATTCTATATCTGTAAATTAATTTCATTCCAAATGAATTTTTACATTGTTCATAAAATTCTATATATGTTTCCTAGTTTTTTCTCAAAAATTATTTCCTTAATCCTTATATTCTATATCTGTAAATTAATTTCATTCCAAAAATATCACTATCTCTTTCTACACACACACTCATAAACATTGATTTATATGCATAGAATATAAGAGACGAAGAAAATCCAGGGGTTCGTGTCCCCACCCCAGCCCCCCGGGGGGTCCTTAACTGCCTCCGTCCCTGTGTAACTAGGTAGTAACAAATGAATGGTAGCTTTGATGTTGCTGATCCTGGAAAAGATAATAAAACAATCAACTCATCATCATGTTCATGAAAGAAATAAAATCATAATTTTTTTTTTTTTTGTTGTCAATTTCTTAAAAAGATGCAACTGTTCAAGTAAATAGTTTTTGTGTTGACAAGCACCCTGTGCATAATAATTGGAGAGGAAAATGGGTAGAGGAAATTCAAGAAATGCTTCCTGTGGGGTGTCAGGGATGGTTAAGATTTTGGGTCTGTTTGGGGTTGGATCATGAGAGAGTTACATGAATTTACAATTATGCTCTCTTTTTTTTTTTTTTTTTTTTTTTTTTTTTTTTTTTTTTTTTCGTGGCTAAAATAAAATGTTTTATTGATAATTTTTATTTCTTTGATGCTTACAAAATTATTTATTTGGAATATTAAATTGTTTTTTTTTTTTTTACAAAAAATCATAAAGTATTTATTGGATACAAATTTATTTAGACATATATTATCCAGTTTAATTAAAAATAAGAAACATACCTTTGGATGTTTTGGGCTTGTCCAAAGACTCCAAACATTGAATTTCAGGTCGCGGCACAGTGTAGTTGTTGAAGCTACAAATCTTGCCATGTGATTCACACATCCACAATTTGGAGTGGACCAATAAAGTTGAATTGTATAGCTAAAAATGTCAGAAGTAACTGAGGAATATATTATCAATCTTGGTGCAAGATGTCAAGGAATAGTCATTTATTTGACTGTTGGAATGAACCGCATAAACTTGGTAGCCCGTGACACCAAGGCAAGGGATGAGAAAGGTTGGTAGATCCCTATCTGCTGATGCAGAGCAATTGAACAAGGCAAAGTCAGTCCGGTCGAAATCATGGTTGAAGTGGAAAGGAGAGACAGAGAGGTTGAGGTTGGGAAACTGCCTTGGGAGGCAGCTTTTTTCATCATCTTGATTTATTTGTATCAGCTGAGATGTGTAATCAATTTTGCCAACCAATACCTTCACTGAAAAGGGAAGCTCGAGCACTGTTTGGTGGTGGTTGTTGCAAGATAGCTCGAACCCGGGATGGCCACAGTGGTCTGGCTGTTGGCCTTTGAGCTTGAATGGGAACCTGATGGCGGGACCATTGTCACTGTAACTTGATACCTTGCACTCGTCTTGGCCTGCAGCTCCAACAAGGATTGTTAGAAGGAAGAAGAAGAGGAAGAGGATAATATTGATGGTCATGTACGCATCTGCCAAATTAGATAAAATTCAATGTGTCTGGTTCTCTGTATCAATTTTCTCACCCAAGGTTCTGGTGTGGGAAAATTCTCATTCAACAGTGGTGTGTAGATATAACGGTTGAGTAGTTAAAAGAGAAATGATTTGGACAGTCAAAGACTGTAGATTAAATATTTGAAAGTTTATTTTGATACATGATCAAAGTATTGTTGGTACTGAAAATAATGAATGTAGGACTAATTCTTTAGAGTAACAAGTTTTTTTTTAATTTTCTTGTACATGGTGGTAAAGTCATCTAAGACCTCATGACCAAAAAAGAGGATTAGAAGCGGGAGAGGTCCAGGGAAAAAAAAAGAGGAAAGAGGGATGAGCAACTTCCTTTTATTATTTAATTTTAAGAGCAGGTCAAGCTTTGGAATGCGTGAATAGCTGCATTCACCCAATCGAATTAAATAAGAATGTGCACCCACTGGAGATAGAAGCTGTGTGGAATAAAAAAATAAAAAAAAACACTAAGTCAAGTCAATGCTGGTGGATGTGCTGGTGGAGAAGTCCATCTTACATGATATGATAAAAAAATGTTTACTAATTTAATGCTTCATGATCAAAGAAGACTTTTAGCCAAAAAAAAAAATTGCCCAATGAACAAGTCAACGCAGTATACTTAAAGACATAACCGAAAGTGGTTCTTAATTTAATGGCAAAAGAGGGATACAAATATGGAGAAAAGACCCTCTAACAAAACAGATTGAGTGCACTGCGTGAACTTTGCGATATGCATTGAAAAAATGAACCGATTATTATTTTATTTTATAAAGAATGTGAACCCTTCAAAAATTATAGTAGGAAAATGATTTTAAAATTGAAGAATTCGGCAAAATTGCTAAACTTATTATTTTTAATTGGTTAATACATGTTAAATATGCATTAATAATAATTAGATATATTCAGTCAAATAATTCTGCTTAAAATAGATAAATAAATAATTTTCTTGAAAGTTCCTTGATCTAATGAGTTTGATGAAAAGAATCTTGATAAAATAGCTTTAGAGCAAACTAGAAAAGTGTTGTTGAATTAATGATCTATAATTAAGTAAAGTAGCTAGTAATATTAATAGATTATACATATTTAGCTAGGGACCATCTAAGAGGATGAAATGAGGAGAGATTTCTAACTTCTTATCTCTCCCTCTCTCTCTCAACTGTGGAATTTATAACTTCTTTTCTTCTCTCTCTATCTATGTCCGGAGGAAGGCTTCTAGCTTGTCTCACAGCCCTTGTACTACTCATCATCCAGCAACCTCAAATTTCCAATGGCAAGGAAAATAACCAGTGTGAACCTTCTTCTTGTGGCAATATCCTTAACATAAGCTACCCTTTCCGATTAAAAGGTGATCCACAACATTGTGGTGATCATAGTTATGAGCTGAGTTGTGAAAACAAACCTTACAGTAGGATATTTCCATTCAAACAAAGACTATGTACAAGCTATCAACTATCACAACTTCACAATCCGTCTAGTCGATCCCAGTGTGCGCAACAACAATAATTGCTCCTCCTTACCTCGTCACTCCTTGAACCAACACAACTTCAGCTCGGAAGATCCCACATACAGCATTTATCAGCATACCCTTGACACAACATCCGCAATTATAACGCCTACCATTTTTCTAAGTTGTCCGAAACCAGTGAATTCTCCTCTCTACCTGGACTATAATCCTTGTACGAATTCTACTTTGTCTTCCACATCTACAAGGCAATATAATAATTTGTATGCTAAGGTTGCCTACCTGAATGTATCAGATGTGGTGGACTCGTGTAGTATAGATGTAACGGTCTTTACGCTGATGCCGGTTAAGGAGGAGAAGCTGGCCGGTAACCTTTCCTTTGCAGATATTCACAGTGCCTTGGTGTATGGATTTGACCTTTCATGGTATAAGGCTCTATGTTCTAATTGTTCAGGATACTGCTACCTTGATGATGCCTATTTGGTGAGATGTCAAGTTTTGCTCATAGCTTTCAGTAAGTCAATTTCTCCTCAAATGCATTTATATATATATATATATATATATATATATATATATATATATATATATATGTACATGTATATGTATATGTATATGTATATGTATATGTATATGTATATGTGCCACTGACCATTTGATATATATCTGAAATACTTCTTAGTACGCAGTCAATTGCTCCTCAAATGAATTACTTATTTCATTTCTAAAGTTTATAACACTTGGTGATAGATTTGTGATAAATGAATGGATTGGAATGAAATAATTTGAGTCTGAATAAGAGAATGACTATTTATGTTGATATACGCGATGTTAGATTAGAGATATGGAATTAAAGCATATTTTGTTGCAACTGTTATGTAATTATAATTTTTATTATTTTAAATTTATAAATATTGGTCATTCAAATCAGTCTATGTATATTCTTAATTAATTAAATCCAAATAAATAAATTATTAAATTTAAATCAATTAATTTCAAATTCTTCAATCCACCCAGAGCCTCAACACTATTATGGATTATAGAAAGTTTCTAATTGCACTAATCATTACCTTCTTCTAATATCCCCTTCTGTGCATGGTTGTGTAGTAGAGTGTTCTACGCCAGAAAAACAATTAAATCCAGATGCAACATATTAATTCTGAGTCTCAAAATAAATGTGTTTTCAACCTCTATTAGTTAATAAAGAAATAAGTAAATTTTTAATTTTTTATTTTTATTTTCTGAGATTCTATTTTCTTATGTTTTATATTCTTTCTTTGGGTAATTCAGGCACGAATAGGGGCCGAGTGCTTGCTATTATTCGGATTTGTAAGAATTCTTTTCACAACACATTATGTTTAATTTCACGCAAAGAACACATAGATTTGTTGCATTGTTGCGTCAATTGATCATAAAACTTCAAGAACTGCTAGAGGTATTCCTTGCTACTGAGTTTCCTCACTTATTGTCATTGTTTATTGCAGCATTTTTGCTGTTGGCACTGCTTGTGATTGGTGAGAACCTGTGTCTTTTTATACTGAACCATGAACCATATTTAACGTGGAGATAATATGAAATGATGTATTGCTTTACCTTTCAAAAAAAAAAAAAAAAACTATATATTTTGTAGGCAGATTACTAGGATCTGAAAATTAATGCTATTGATATAAAGCAATTTTAAACATTGCAATGAGAATTGTATGTGGAATTCCATTCCTATTGACAGTCTAAATCTGTAAATGGCGAAGAAGGCATTTATCGATGTTCGATGACATAGAAGGTTACTTACGTAGCCAGAATAACCTCATGCCTATTAGGTATTCTTACTCCCAAATTAAGAACATGACCAAAGGTTTCAAGGACAAATTGGGTGAAGGAGGTTATGGTTCTGTATATAAAGGAAAGCTTAGAAGCGGCCATCTTGTAGCAATCAAGATACTGGGGAAGTCTAAAGCAAATGGTCAAGAATTCATCAATGAAGTGGCTACCATTGGAAGGATTCACCATGCCAATGTGGTGCAAATAATTCGATATTGTGCCAAAGGATCTAAGCGCGCTCTTATATATGAATTCATGCCTAATGGATCTCTTGAGAAGTACATTTTTCCTAGAGATGAAGAAGAAACCGTCTCCATTAGTTGTGAGAAAATGTATAAGATTTCTCTTGGTAGTAGCTCATGGGATAGAATATCTACACCGGGGATGTGACATACAAATCTTACATTTCGACATCAAGCCTCACAACATTCTTCTTGATGAGAATTTCACTCCAAAAATTTCTGACTTTGGGCTTGCCAAATTGTATGCAGCGGATGATAGTTGTGTCTCTCACTGCAGCAAGAGGTACAATGGGTTACATGGCTCCAGAATTGTTCGATAAAAACATTGGAGGTGTTTCATACAAAGCTGATGTTTATAGTTTCGGGATGTTGTTGTTGGAAATGGCTGGAAGAAGGAAGAATTTGAATATATTAGCAGATCATTCAAGCCAAATTTACTTTCCTTCATGGGTTTATGACCAAATCATGGAAGGAAATGACATAGAAGTAGGATATGTCACTGAGGAGGAAATGGAAGTTGTAAAAAAGATGATAATTGTAGCATTGTGGTGCATACAAATGAAGCCTAGTGATCGTACTTCAATGAGCAAAGTAGTAGAGATGCTTGAGGGAAATGTTGAAGTTCTGCACATGCCTCCCAAGCCTTTTATGACTCCAGACAACATGTCAGCTAAGGATCATGGAATCAACACAGAACATACAGAGCTACCAATTCTATAACCTGATTCTATAGATTCCATCAATTTGGATATAAATGCTTAACTTTCTGTACATTCTATCAATTATGTGAGTGCAAATTAAGCATTCTATTATAGAACTGTGTCTGTTTATAATGGATAATGAGCTTGAATTACCCTTTATTAATAAGGCAGAACAAATAGAAGCCTTAACTAGGGAGTTAATCGCTTCATATGATGCAAAATGGACATTAATTTTTATGATTAATGAAACCCAACAGAGGAGTAATGGGATTCTTCATCACTACTAGATTCCATTTACCCAAGCCTGATAGCAATCCTGAAGCTATAAACATCCGATTTTTATAGTTTCGGAATGTTAGTGCTGGAAATGGCAAGAGTGGATTAGTCTGAGTGCCCATAATTATATTTTTCTTTGAAACAGAGCATTCCAGACTAATTCGCATTTCTTCGCTCATCCATGTTTTATGTTTACAACATCTTCAGTAATAATAATACTTCTAATTCAATCGACTTTTACTATTAGTTCATACTTTCTACCTTCCATAAAAGAAATTATCAATATATTCTAATTCAATTGACAAAATTATAAGTTTATATCCTCTTATCTTTCAGAAAAGAAAATATCAATGTCAACTTCTATACAGACAAAAACAAGAATTTTAACCCCTTTTTATTTTTCTTTTTTATTTTCTATGAGGGGACACTGCCAAATAACAGAGACTCTCCTATATCAAGAAA